CATCATCATCCAAGCCTTATCCTAAATATATGGGGTTGGGTACATAAATCATATTTCACCATTCTGTTTATTTAATGCCATATCCATTATTAAATTATGAGCACTTAAATCACTTCTTACTTTGACTCCATTTCCTTTTTGGCCTATCCCTAGCCCTTCTAGCTCCTTCAGATTTTACAGATCACTTCTTACAGGTACTGTCACTGGACTTCTATGCATGTGACCAAGCCTTCTTAGTCTACTACTCTCTCATTTTATCACCAATTGGAGCTACTCCTAGGTTCCTTCGAATGACTTCATTACTGATCCTATCTCAGTACACATTTTTGCCACTCATTTTCTGGATGTTGTTTCTTGACTGCCAGATACTCCACTCAATATAGCATAAATGGCCTTAAACTATTTTATAAAATTTTCTTTATTCAAGAGTCGTTTTATTAAGGGAGGCTCTGATGTACAAACATGCCCCTCCAAGCCAACAATGAAAATAAAAGAAAGATAGCAAATATCACAGTGCGATTGTTGTACCATAGTACAGTAGGGATGTAGGATTACTATATATGACTGTCTTTCTATACTTTACCTCAAACTGATTTGGTGAAGATATCAGCAACCTGAATGACAAAGACTATGCGAGGAAAAGTGATTATATCAACAAGAAATTGGTTCTGAATAAAGTGCCAATCTACCTCGATAGGTTTGTTGCATTTGTAAAACCATGTTGGAGGTAATTTGAATCACACTAAAGTTATCAGTATAAAGTGGTAAGACCCAAGGCCCTGAAAGACCCTGCACCTAAATAATATCAGTGTAGGCTTATGATTATGGCATTCAATTTTACAAATGATTTGGACACAGTAGGTTACTTCTTGTATGCCCAAGAGATGAGGAAATCACCCAGGAATATACCATCTAGAGCATAGAATGTCTACTGTGTCCAAGTCAGGATTGGGATGTGTGATAGAAAATAATCTTGGACACAGTACCCTTTAGATAGCAAATGATCTTGGTCAGCAATGGCTAGGTGTTATTTGTCAGGGCACTGACATGGACTGGCTATAACATGGATAACGTGGGCAATAATGGGATGTGTGATGGACAAGACCAACTACAAGCTGCATGTAGTGAATAGCATCACAAAGAGTCTCATCATGATCTTTGGAATGTTTCATTTAAGTGTACAAGGTGGAGTGTTGGTAATCAGAAACCAATACTTGCATAAAATTACTTCAGTGGAGATAAAGAAGTGGATAGTCAGGAAGTCTAAAAGAGACAACTAGAAATGAACACCTTTATGGCAACTTAGGTTAAGTATACTAAGATTGTTTAATCATGTTATTGAAGATACAACAATAAGAAAGAGTAATTGCTCGCAAGTTAGAGGGTTCTAAAAGATCTAAGAAGAAGCCAAAAGAGACAAAGGTTGAAGCAGTGGGCAAAGATCTATGGACTTGCAATCTATGATACCCAGGTATACATGCCTAAAATCCTGTTTCAGACCTCCCCTTGGAAGGTAATTCACTGTGTTCTTCCTTCCTTCCTGAGCTATAGTGTATATGATGCTTGTGATGGAAATGAGATATTTCTCTGTGAAGACCTTTTGATGGGGGATGCTACACCGAGACCACCCTAATCTCTACTCACTCTCTCTCTCTCTCCTACAAAAAAAGAGCCTATTTCTAAATTCTTTGTTATATCCTCAATAGGGACTAGTTGGGATTTTTGGCTTTAGAAGAGGCCTGAGGGACTCATCTAGGGAATTTTCCATGTATGCCTCAGTTTTCTATATCCTTTCACCCCCCCCCCCCCTGTTTCAGTCCCTTCTTTTCCAATGAAAGAAGTTTGGAGTAGACCTTTGCCCCTAAGATGCAAACTTTTTGTTGGAAGGTTTCTCTTGAAAAAATCAATACTTGTGGTGCTCTTCAAAAGAGACAACCCAATTGGTGTCTTACTTCTCATGTTTGTCCTCTTTGTTGCACTGGAAGAGACCACTTACTACTTCCATCTTGTTTAGTCTCTAGCATTTGGAGTTCTCTCTTTTTGGTTGATGATGGACACGACCAAACTCTTCAACCTAAATCACTTAAAGTTGTTTCGAAAAATAGGGAGAATACTATGGAGATGTACAAGAATGGCAATCATCTGGACTATTTGGGAAGAAAGAAATATTCAAAGGGCAAAATAAAAAAAAAAGGACTACGGCGAGGGGGAAAGGTAAGTTCCTTTGGCACATCTCAAGGTACAAATACAAAGAGGAAGAATTAATTGAGATTGATAGAAATAACAGAGCTAAGAAGGCGTATGATCAAGAAAAAGTAGATTGAAGTCATAGGAAGGAACCTAGGAGTAGCTCTGATGGATGACACAGTGAGAGAAAGTAGATTAAGATGGTTTGTTCACGTGTATAGAATACCTGATAAGAAAAAGTGATTTATTACAATTTGAAGGGGCTAGAAGAGCTAGGTGCAGGCTAAATAGGACTTGGGTGGAAATAATAAGAAATGCTTAGGTGTCCATTGTATATGGCACTAAACAGAACGGAATGGAAAAATGGGATTCATGTAGTCAACACCATACAGTTGGGACAAGGCTTAGATAATGATGATGATATACAATTTAAAAATAACACATTTATCTATATGTATTATATGTAAATATTTGTGGCTTGTGCCTGGACACAAGTAGACCTGTTTATGGGCCGGGCTCGGGCTTGGATTTTGCTAAAATTTGAATGGGGCCCAGCCCGAAACCCAAGCCCGACACAGTGTAAGTCAGGCCTGAAGCCCAGCCCATGAACAGGTCTAGACACAACCTAGGCCCAAGCTTGGAAATTTCCGGGGTGGGTACAAATGATCACCCCTAATGGTGACTGATTCATATACTACTAGGGATACTGCCTATATCCATTGGACATCTCCAAACATTGGGTGCGTACAGCTGAATTTTGATGGAAGCTCAATTGTCAATCCTGGACCTCCAAGAGTTGGCCAGATCTCTTAGAGATAATAATGGGATATACTTGCACTTTACTCAGGACTGGTTGTCTGTGGTAAGCAGAAGTATTAGCAACAGCCTAGAGCAGTGGAGTCAGAAAGGAAAGAAAACATGGTACTAGAGAGACATGTTACGAAAGAAGGAATCACCAACCAGAAACAAATACAAGTGACGAAGCCCTTAACTCCGCAACTGCCTTCGGGCGAGGCCTGCTGACCACCAACAAAAGAATAGACTATCCAACAAGAAAGAAATGTTGTTGACGGCACAGAACAAGTCGATCGGCAATTACTCGCTTCGACCCAAGAGTCCCAAAGGAAAGAGATACTCATCAACTAGAAACACGTACTTGAATGCTGAATGCTATGAGTCGAGAGAGAAAGAATTACTAGTGCCTGAAACATATGTTTAAGACATATTGGTAAGCAAGGAATGGAGATACAAAGTCATTTAACCTCAAGAGTATGATTGAAAGGGACTCAAAAGTGGTAGTGGGATGGCTGAACAACACCAGGTTCTATGGATTCATAGACAAGTTATTAGGAGAACAAGAAGACCACAGAAGGGATTAGAAGCCACCTTTCAGTGGGTCCAAATGGGAGCAAAGGGTTTAGTAGATACATTGACTAAACAAGGGGTAAATAGGGAGCAACTATTCTGGGCTTCAATATGTGCAACCAAATGGCATAGGTGGAGAAATCCAGCCTAGACAAAGGGATGCTAGGCATTGTGTACATAATATCCTTTTGGTTTATTAATAAAAAAAATCAGTTAAAAACAAAGAAAACACACCCGTTTCTAATATGTACCTGATACAACACCAGACACTATCAATACTTCTAAAAGAATACTTCATAGCAATAAATGTTTCAAAATATGTAAAATGATATATTTTAGCAAATCATACTATAAAATATGCATATTTTAAAAATTTTCATTAAATTTGACAAGACATAAGTATTATGAAATGATACAGTTTCAAAAACTAGATTAAGAGTACAAGTGTATTTAGTGGGGTACCCATAGCCATATCCATGTTTGGGATCTTAGGAAATGGAGTCATTCCCATTTCCCATATCCATGCTTGTGTCAGCATGCCTTCTGTACTTTAGTATCACAGTTGTGATTTAGCAAGGGATTTGGCCCTTCATAGTGTGAAATGGTGAAATATGATCTATATAACCAACATCAAATGGTTGGGATACTAGGGTGCAAAGGAGATGACAAAATTAGTTTGTCACTTAAAGCATGTGTTGGCGATTGAAAACATGATAATAGTGCCTACTCATAGTTATTGCACATCCTAAAATGTATCAAGAGTTGGTAACCAAATAAAAGGAAACATTTGTTGGGTTGTTATATGTTTGATTGATACTACAATGTACAAATGATCTGTGTAGATGATGGTTTCCGGTGGTAAAATGACAATATGCAGAAGGCTTCCTAATCAGCATGTCAAACTGAATAGTTATTGTTTGATGACTGGATGGAAGTAACAAATTATGGACACATTGTGGTATGGTGTGGCACAGGCCTTGAGATGCACCTCACCTGTGCATCCAGGCATGCCTTTTAAACCACTGCTAAAACGTGTTATCTGTGTAGATGGGTGAAAAGAAAATATGTGTTATTTATCGAAGCTTATCCTAAAGTGGATTCTGAATCATTCTCCTTTGAAAGTAACTACAATTTGTTGTTGTATCAACAGATTAGCTAACAAGGGGATAATTGTATGATGATAGCTCCTGGTTTGTCTAAATATCATTTTTATTTGTCATCAAATATGACTCATTGTCATTCTCTTATTGGCACACATTTAACATGGAATTCCATTTGCAGTCAGTGGCCTAAAAATGACACATGATGGCCGTCTGTCTGGATTCTTGTATTTATCATTTTTCACATCTAGGTTGATTGTATCAAAACAGGTCAGAGGTTAGCATGATAATGAACTTTGTGTTTTATATGGTCAATGTTACACTCTTTTTTCTCTTGACATTTCTCAGGTTGCTCGGTCTCAGTCAGAACATGCTGGCAACATCTGCCAACAGTTGCTTAACTGCAACAGCAAGAAGTTGCTAGTGGAGCAAAAGTTGAACGAAGTGAACACCTCTGAGGGACCTCCCAGTTTCACTCCAGATAATGCGATTGTTGGTGGGAACAAAGAACAATCAGCTCCAGTCATGTATACACAACAGGGATCTTTTCCTGACAAGTCCGTCAACATCCATGAAGAGTCGCGGAAATCTGCAGCAGCTGCTGTGGCAGCAAAGCTTGCAGCTTCAACTTCCTCAGCCCAGATGCTCACTTTTGTACTTTCCTCTCTGGCATCAGAGGGTGTAATTAGCGGCTCGTTAAGTGAATCTCTCAGTGATTATCCTCCAGACAAGAAGCCTAAAGTTGACAATGGTCAATCTTTTGTAGCTCCTCAACCACAGCTGCCATGTTTTCCACATCCTGAATCACAACTACAAAACCAGGTTGCAACCACCTCACAATTGACACCAAATCAACAGCTGCCCACATCATCTTCACCAATCTCACATTCAGGTATAACCATGCAGCAACCACTGCCACCACCACTACCACCCCTGCCGCCTCCAACTGCTCAGTTCATACAGACAGCTGGACCAATGATGAGTGTACCTTACAGCTATGGTACAGCCTTACAACAACCCCCACCTTTGCCTGGTTATCCAATGGTTGGGGCCCCTGTTACAAGTGTACCTTCCTATCCTTCTCATCAGAATCCTTATCAAAGTTTTCAAACATCAGAAGGTGGGTTTTATAGCCAGCCACCATTGCAGTCAACACCACCTCCCATTTCGCGACAGTAGATGCCCAGACCTCAAGGGGTAACAATAGGAAGAAAGTTTTGTTGGGTGACCTGTATTTTACACTGATCTTTTGACCAAAGGAACATTTTCTCCCAGCACTTGATGAACGGGGAGTTCTTATAACGCATACATGTTTGTATATTAAACTCCACAGTCCACAACCACTTTGGGTTTTATAATCTTTATATCCGTGTAGATGTGAGTTTAGTAGTTGAGGGGTGATGTGTATTGTTTCTGCTGACACAGCAGTTGTTTTTGTTTAAGAAAACAAAACCACTCGCATTGTCGAACACCCGCCAAGTGATTCTGCAGGAATGCTCTTCTTTTCAATCGTGTCTGTTATATTGTAAGAGTGCATAGTTGGCCCCATAATAGGGTGGGGTTTATGGAAATAGGAAGAAATCAGAAAAGAACTGTCGTGGCCAGTAAGTGAAGAACGTTATCCACTTTGTGCTGGCACCTTCAGAGGGAAGAGGCTCGCAGGTCAATATGGATGGTGTCGACCAAGCTATACTAGAAAGCTGTTGATTGACATTATTGAACTGTTTTGATGTGTTGGTGGGAGAAGGGAGCACCATGATGTCTGTTTCCTGTTATGGGATCACTCTGGAACAGTGGTTGAAATGGAAATACCTCCCCCACCATAAAAATGAATAAATAAATAAAGCGGAGAAGGGAAGCGCAGAACATGTAATTAGGCTTGTGTAAAGTTACAAATATAATTTTATTTGCACGGCCATCAAAGCCTACGTTTAACATTGAAGCCAATGAACATTGTAGTAATTTTTTTTTATAAGCAAATATAACTTTGACAAATTTAAAGTGATCAACTTTTGCTAGTTTTGTTACCCAAATAAAAAAACTTTTGCGAGTTTAACACTTAAATCCGTACATACTTTAAAAGGGATTGATAAAAAAAAAGGAAAGAAAAAGTGGTAACTGGAAAGCACGTGAAGGGAGACTTGAAATTAGAATTATGTTTATACGATACATTGTGTATGGTGCGTACTGTAACTAACAGGGAGACATGGAGGAAGGCCTCTTTTTGAGTGGGGAATCCCAATCAATCAAAGGAATTCTGGCTTTGTTTTCGTTTTCAATTGTCTTTCTTCTGGATTATTAGTTGAATTTGTATATTTCCTTCTTTCTCGAGCATTTTGGTTGCACACTTGCACCTAGTGCTCAATTCATCATCCCTACGATAAGGATGCAAAATTCTTGGGGAAGGGAGACCGTGACCCTTAACCCCCTATATTATTTACCACCTTGTACTTTCACATAGTTTTGAAACTCCTGATGATATTAATGGTGAAAGGGATGAGGAAGGAGGTGATGGTGGAAATAAGGTAGAAGTGGAGGTGAAATGGACTGGCAGTAGTGGAGGGATTGTTGATGAGACGAGTATAATGACCACTGTTGGGGTATAAGAGAAGGCTAGAAGGGTAAAGAGGTGGTGATATGTGAGAATGGTAGAGGTAGAGGAGATGAACACAGAGGTAATGTTGAGAATAATGTTTGTAGGACAGATGGTTGTGGCTGAAACCTTTTTTGGTACTAATGTTGTATATTAAAGGAGGATTAAGGGGTGGGGACAGAGCAGGGTGCACGAGGAGAATAGGAGATAGTGGTATTATATTAGGGAGATCCTGCATTTATGCGGGTTTGATACCATGCCTCTATACTCGGAGGGATGCCAACTCACCATTCAGCTACGAGTTTGGATTTGGTCTCAACAAGTGTCCCCGCAAACCATTGCAGCAGTACATTGGAAAGCAGTGTTTTTGAATCGTCATTGACCGTTGATTTAGACAGTTGGACCATTTGACCCGGGAACCATTCAGGGTCTGTTTCACCCTTAACCAGTTCCTTAGCCAAAAACTGTTGACTTGGTCAGTGACCCACCCACTGACCCGGGCAGTGGAACTGTCCTTCTGTTCAATCTAAACAATGGTTTTTAGCCATTTTTTATTTTAACTTTTAAACATTGTTGGAAACATCTCCTCATGAATGACACAGCAGATGTTTCCAATGTATGGCTTGTATTGACTTGTTAGGATGGTTGTTGGGACCAAATCCAAACCTTTCAATTGCAGGGTCATCAGCTAAAATACATGGTCCTAATATGGAATAAAAGTTCCATTTGGGATAGATACATACATATATGAATTAACAACGTGCATATGTAAGGGCGTGAGTGTATGCATGTGTTATGTTTGAGTTCACATCTGCCCTGTGTGCCCCCCACAAAGGAACACCCTACAATGCCCCATAGCACATTCCCACCTTGTAATGGAAACATCTCCCCATAACAAGTACAGGAGATGATAAAACATCATCCGGAGATGTTTCCAATACAAAGTGGGAATGTGCTGTGGGGCACAAATGTGAACTTGTTATGTTTTACTCATGTTTCAGAAAGTTGGTGACAAAATAACTAATGCACATTGCAGTGTCCAACCCTAACCCTAACAAAGTATAATACAAAAACCATAATAGGCATTTGACTACGGCAAAAACTATGGTCAAAGAGCCAGGAGGTTCCCATGCTCTTGGGATTGTGACTGAACTGTAGCTTAGGTCTTCAACCCAAACAATATACTATTACTAAACAACAAAGTAACTTGGGACAGAACGAAACACTGATTAGAGACAAAAAGATGGTCATACTTTTGTTTCAAGTCCTCACTTGAGTGAAATTACGTCTACATCTTGTCTGTGTATGTGTTCTAGTGTGTATGCCTTGTGAATAGTTTATACGAATTGAGACCAAAAAAATGTGAAGATAAACAAATCTCAAACCACCTAGATTCTCTCTCTCTCTTAGGACCCACTAAATAAATATCCCTCGTGGCAAAACCTTATGCTATTATCTTGGGTAATGGTGTTGTCAAGTTTGGGCCTTGTGAGTATTACTTGTTTTTTAAATTATCTCTAAGGTTTAAGAAATTGATTAACTATACGTTTACTGTTTCAGTATTTTGTTAAAGTGTCCCTACCGACAATTGACTAAATCTTCTGCATGTCTGTTAATGGGAGGATTAAAAATACCACTTCTGGCTCATTCTAATCCTTTGCATAAAAAAAGCTTGAGACCCCATTTCCGATTTGAAATCTCAATTGGGTCAGGCCCAAGAGGAGCTGAAAGAGCAGTTGGCTTTTGCGGAAGCTGATAAGAAAGAAGCTCAGGAAGAGCTAGAGAAGAAGACTAAGGAGCCAGCCGCAGAGGAGGCCACTAAGGAGGTAGAACACCTTCCTCCTCCTCAAGGGGAAACCCATGAACCCAATGAGGAAATCAGCATTGGACAACTTGGTTGTGATGATTGACGAGATCAGCTTGCTGAAAGAGAAGTTGACAGAGAAGGAGAAGCAATTGGAGATGGCTCGGGAAGAGAACGAGCTCTTGAAAAAGAAGGTGAAGGAGGCAGCGGTGAAGTCTGCCTCTTTTCTAGTTATGGAGGAGGAATCCACTCTGAAGAAACACCAGATGACCTAATCACTTTCGGCTACCTTCATCTGTTTTGACCACCACCTGTCTAGCATCGTTGAACAACTTTAACGCGGCAGAGGACTGGGAACACTAATAGAGCTGAAGCGGGAAGTGGAGCATGTGGATCAGTAGGTACATCTCCGTTGTGATTTAGAAGCACCAGAAGAAGTTGAGGGTGCAGACAGAGACAGAGCAATGGAGGAAGGCAGCTGATGCAGCAACGGCGGTGTTGGCCGACAGAATGGAGATGAACGGGAGGGTGACAGAAAGGTGTGGCTCAATGGACAAGCACCTGAACAACGGTGGCCTTGAAACGGCTGGTGGTGGATACACCGGATTCGATAACTTGCACTATTCGCTGCTGCAGTGATGAAACGAGTTGTAGAGAGAGAGGGGTCGAGGTGGAGGGTTCTGCTGCTGCAGCGAGTTGTAGCTGCGGTGACGAAACAGGGGGACAAAACTAAAAGGAGAGAGAAAGAGAAAGAGAGTGAAGGGTAAAATTGGGATTTAAAAAAAATATAGTCCCATGGTGTCACATGTGTATGGAATTTAACAGAATATTAAGGGATGATAACCATAAAGGTAGAGCTAGTCAATTGTTAGAAACAGTAGGGTAATTTAAGATAATACTGAAATAATAGGGGATATAGTTAGTTAATTTCCTAAACCTTAAAACAAGTTTAAGAAATTTGTCGTGTATAAAATGGCAAAATCCTATTTGAAAACTAAATTCTAAGTTTCTTTGTGTGCATCTAAAGTTTGGGATTTTATTGCATGTGTAGTTGGAACATGGTTTTGTAAACTGGATACATTTGGACCAGTTGACTTGGGAAATGGCCAGGAAACTAGTTTCGTTTCACCTTAAAATTGTTTTTTGGCCAAAACTGTTGATTCAGTCAACCATCAACTTGGACAACGTTTTTTGGTCATTTTTTATTTTATTTATTTTTAATTTTTTAAGTCAAAACAGATTGGGCCATCTATTTGAATCAAACGATTGGACCCTTCAATCTAAGAACCGGTCCCCAAAATGGTTCCATGTCTTATCTGATTTTAAAAACCTTGGTTAGAGATGTAAAGAAAAGGAAAAAAATGTGGATTTACTTTCTTACTTCTATCTAAAACTCACAATGAGTTTTCAGCATTTCTCTTAAACTCACCACAACTTTCCAAAATGTCTAAAACTCACCATGTCACTAACTTGACGTTAAACAGATTAATGGATGTTAATATATTACTATTTTAACCTTTATAGAAAAAAGGGAAAAGGTTCAAAAAAATATTTTCAAATATAAAATACATAAAAACATAGAAATTACAAAAAATATAAAAAAAATTATAGAAATTGCAAACAAAATAAAAAATTATTTTCAAATTATAAAAACTATAGAAATTGGAAAACAAAATCAGAAAATAAAATTTGTAGAAAAAAATACCAAAAATTATAGAAAACCACAGAAATTGTAGATAAATAACAAAAATACAAGAAACTTTATAGATTGTAGAAAATAGGAAAGTATAAAAGTAGAAATTATAAAAAACATTGAAAATTATAATAAAACACTAAAAATGCAAAAAAAAAAAGAAAATTGAAAACTGAAAAAGACAATTTTTCCTCTAATTCACCATTCAAGGGTAATTTGGTCATGAAAATTGTTATTTATGCTGATATGGACACCTTTGTTAATTTAAAAGGTTGTGGTGAGTTTAAGAGTAATGTTAAAAACTCATGATGAATTTTAGACAAATTCCCTATATATTAAAGGAAGGCTTTCAGACTACAACCCCCATTATTCAGACACGTGGCTTTTTCAAATTTAAGCACATGGCATTTTCTGAGAAGTTGTTAAAACCCACAACCCACTACCGTCATTCAGACAAATGGCCTCCTCATTTTTTAGAAAGTTAGACATGTGGCAATTTCTGAGAAATTCTTGTTAAAGTCCACAATCCACTACCGGGCTATAACTCCCCACCATTCAAATACATGGCCTTCTCATTTTTCTGTAAAACTAGACACGTGGCATTTTTTGAGAAGATGTTGCTAAAGCTTATAGCCTGATACCACCATTTTCAATCTATTCCTAAAAATAATGCAAAAAATACAAAAGTGATTATCCACAACCACTTTCAATTTATTTTCAATCCATATTCTAATAATTATTAAAAAGTTATTTTTTGAAATTTTAATAATTATTTAAAATATTAATAAATATAAATTTAACATTACTGGTACGGGGGTCATTCACTACTTAATATTAATAGTAACTAAATATCTATTGAGTATGACTATGAGTAAATTAACCGGGTCTGATGCATATGGATCTGAGTCGGATGCGGCTATGATCGAAGCCAAAGTTCATGGACATAAACCATAGGCGAGTACATTGTCAAACTCGCCTCAGCTCCAGAGCAAGATTGAAAAGACCCTCAGCCACCAGCCTACCACATCCATGCAATAGTGCATTCTAAGTGTTTGAGGAAAAACCCAATGAAACATGGAGAGAGTTTGAAGCCCATAGATGAAAAGAATCGTAACTTTGCTCGAGAGTGCAAAACCGTAAGCGACAAACAGTAAGGCTACGTTTGATTTGAAGGAAAAGCAGGAAAAGAAAGGAAAAGGAAACTTATGGTTTAAAAGAAAAATAGGAAAAGGAAGGAAAGGGCAGAAAAAGTTAAACAAGACTTTTAAAAATTTTCCTTTAAATCAAACACAGTCTAAAAGTAAAGCCAAAATTTAAAAGAGCAAAATAGCGGTCAACGGAAGCTTAACGTAAGCCGTTAACCTGTGACGGCGAACAATGACTGAGAAAAGCCGTCACGTCCTTCGCTTTAACGGCCACAGAGAATACTAAATTATTAGTTCTCATGCTATTACGCCAAGCTTGGTATGTGCGTCAGGGACTGTTCAGGAGTATGATGAGGGAGAAGAGCCGAGACGCGGGGCGGGATGGAGAATGGAGATTCTCTCTCTCTCCTCTTGTATTGCATTGCATTGCATGCCCAACAACATGGTCAGACAGCGAGTGACACCCACCTGCTCCGACACGGTGTCCTAAAAGCTTTGTTGGGATGGGACCCACATAACATCTCCCTCGCAAGCACCGCCACCCCTCGCCGGCTTCCGCCGCCCGCCCTTTGCTTGCTCCTCTCAGAGAATTGTCTGGTTGAAATTACCGAGTTGCCCACCCACAGAATCATGGTCCGTCCATACCAACTTGGATTAGCTGCTCCGGTGGTAAATACAAGCCGTTGGATGGGCAGCAAATAATGACATCATGCATTCTTTTGAACGACGTCATCATTTAATTGATTAAATAAAAGAAATCTAGTAGAGTAGAAGCTAAGGTGGTCGACCGCTGACTAGACCCAGAACAAGTGGGATAATTCCAACTCATCAACCCAACGTTGTACGATTGCACGGCACGGCCAACGAATGAATGTGATGACAAACAGATCTCTGTTTTTTGCTTTCTATCTATGTGACGGGATGTAATGTAGCTCCATATTGTAATTACCACAATGCCCCTCTCAAATCCAAGGGTGAGTACAGTTCCAGATGGGGCATTTCGGTCACCCAAATGTGAAGATCAAGAAACCAACCACTTACCAAAATTCAGAACACAAGAAATCGGATCGATCCATCATCATGTAACGGTTATCGTGCTCACAGAAACGAGAAGTCGAGAAGAGAAACTCCATCCAATTTCAGCGGCTTTTTAGTAGCGGCGCCGTGTTCCCACGTGCCGTATAGTTGGCGAACATCATAATGAAGCTCAACCCCCGCTCCTCAAAATTCATGTAGCACGTGCCTTCCGACCATTGGATAATTGGAAGGGGGAAGGAGACCATGGTGAAGCAAAATGATGAATTGTTTCATGCCGTCCGATCAAATCCTCTGTTATTGGAAGACTCCCGCATAAATGCATAATGAAGAAGCAGGCGGTCGTTATCAACCTCAAGAACAAGGAGTGGAGTCAGGGTAGCATAGCAACAATCGCGCTACGCTACTCTGGTCTCTGTCTCTGTCTCTGTCTCTGTGAGAGAGAGAGTACTGTCCCCCAGAAGGCCAGAATTTGCGTCACCAATAAAAACAAACAAAACGTAGATTCGTGCCTTTCATATTCCCTGCGAAAACGACCTCAGAGTTAACCCATTTTCTGCTCCCCTCACCCTTCTCACGTTCACTCACATAAAGACCCACTAAAAATTCAATTAAGATAAACAAACATATGTATTTGTTTGGAATTTGGAAACACTATTCAAGGAACCATGACATGAGGGCTTGATTACTAGTCTATTTCCTATATTCCTCTTACGCCTCTCTATTATATTATTTATTAGGGTTATCCCAGCTTCAACAGCAGAAACATGACCACCCCCGACAACCAAAATCGAATTATACCCTTTTCTCTCTCTCTCTCTGGAATGAAACCATCATCCTTGAAGAAAGAGCCATTTAAGAACTGACACCTAACTACTCAAGTTTTAATATTCATTCAGCTTTTATTGTTTTTATGCAACTATATAGTACATAGACCTGTTTATGGGCCGGGTAGCCCAATGGCCCGGCCCGCACTCTGGTCGGGCTTGTCATGTAATTAGGCCCGTGGGCATGACTCCGGACCTAACACAGTAAGCCTGATTGTGTTTCGGGCTGGACTCGGGATTTGTCAAAAAAATCCGGCCCGATTTAGCATTATATATTTTATAAAATATATAATATGTATTTTATATATTATATAAAATATATAAATAATATCATATTTATTAAAAATATATTTTATAATTTAATATATATTTTTTTTATTCTTTTCTTTATAATTTCTCTCTCTCTCTCTCTCTCTCTCTCTCTCTCTCTCTCTCTCTCTCTCTCTCTATATATATATATATATATATATATATATATATATATTCAGCCTTTTCAGCAGTAGTAACAGTATGGATTAAATTTCGAACTCGAGCCCAAGCCTGGGCTTCGGGCTTTTTATGAGGGCTGGGCTTGGGCCCAAGTTATAGGCCCGATGGTTAGGTCGGGCTCGAACTCGGGCCTTAGAAAAATATGTTAATACAGAGTGAAAGTCCAGCAGCCCAGCCCATGAACAGGTCTAATTGTATAAATTGGTCCAATTTATTATAAACATGTCTTCAAAAGACAAACTCATGTAAATAATGACCAATTAACAAACACCATTCTATTTCAGTATTTCAGGAGTACAAATATGTACTGTATAAATATATATAAAATAATACAAAATATAAAATGTCTTATGAAAAATAAAGCAAATTAACAAACAATTTATTTCATTTTAATATAATTGGGTCCCAAGAAACCTGAAAAATATCATAATTCATTAAAAAAGAGAAGCAAGTGAGAAAGGAAAAATTATGAAAAAAGTCCTTTAAGCCCTTTCCTAAAATTAGTATCACCGGAGGACTTTTCCCACAACTTTCTCTTTGTTACTTGTTTTTAAAGAAATCAAACACAGTATAAAAAAACATCCTCCCCACCCTACCAGAAAAGTTGGCAAGCTATCATGCGCATGGGGTTCATTTGTTTCACCAGGAAAAAAAAAACAGAGTTCGTGATGGCCACAACCTCAACCTCACTTATAGACCCTTTTGAAGTTCAACCGACAACAAGGACGGAGACAGCCGTCTAATGACCAACAGACTCTCCTGAAAAAGCCTGTCCCATGTCCCCAATGCCTGTTACAGTGTTACTCATTTCTTTTTACTTGATTATTATTTAATTTATCATTTCTTTTTCTTCTTTTCGACAAAAAAAAAATACAATTCTTGAAAAAATAATAATAAGAAGAAGAAACAAGGTGAGAGTCAGACAAACCATATCAAGAGCAAACACTCTTGCAGATATTCCACTGCCTCTCAGTCCCCCCTATGTAGCGTTTCTCCTCTAAAAACTTTAGTCTCTAACATGTGGGCTGACGACTACAACACTATGAAAAGGTCCATGAAAAACGAAAAGCGTGATTATTACAAAACTGCCCCTAGAATAAAAAGTCACCCCAGTGGCCAGAGGCCAGAACTCCACAACTTTTTTTGGTAATAAGAACTCCACCACAACTCAAGACTTCTTGTATCATATTCACTCTATAAATACCATCCAACCGTTAATCACTCCTCACTCGCTCACTCTCAGTGTTTCAGAGACACTTCTATCTATCACTCTCTCTTTGCTCTTTGCCTTGTGCCTTGTGTGTGCTTTGTTTTGTTATTCGGTCTCTTTCCTAGCTTCCTGTGTCTGTTTTTTCTTTCTTATTTGACTCAATCTCTGCTTAGTACTATGCATTACCAGATGGAGTCTTGGGGATCTTACATGCCGACCAGGAGCGTCGGAGACCCGCTGGAACGAGTGGAAAGGCTCGCCTCCGAGAACGCCGTTGTAATCTTCAGTATCAGCACTTGCTGCATGTGCCACGCTATTAAGAGGCTATTCTGTGGGATGGGTGTGAATCCAACAGTCTACGAGCTGGACGAGGACCCGAGAGGGAAGGAGATAGAGAAAGCTCTGATGAGGCTTCTGGGTAGTTCATCTGCGGTTCCAGTTGTGTTCATCGGAGGGAAGCTTGTTGGCGCCATGGACAGGGTTATGGCGTCTCACATTAATGGCACCTTGGTACCCCTTCTCAAAGAGGCTGGAGCTCTCTGGCTCTGAGTCGTAGATGGAATGATTCAGAGGGAAAGATTCCCGGAAATAGTAACAGAAAATCAGAAATCTCTATAGAATAGAAAGAAGGGGGGGAGTGGGTTTGTTTTGTCTCCTCCATTTTGGATACACCAATGTATTCTTGTTTTTTTTTCTCTTTCCCATCTTTGCTTAGGTTCTCTTCTCATTTCTTTTATCACTCGGCTTCTTTTTCTATTCGGTTTCTTCTAATGAATGTTGCAGAGAGAAATGTATTTGCTCCCTCCTCTGTATAGAAAGAAAGAGAAATGGGAAAAAATGAAAGTTTTCTTTAACTGGGTTCTATCTTATCTGTCGACAAGTCCGTTCTTATGCTGCCTCTTCCCAGTTTTCTCTTGGCTTTTATATTCGTATATATAAATTTGTTTTTTTATTTCTGTACCTTTTCTCTTTCGCCTTATAACTAAGGAATATGAATTCTCTTCTCTTACCATTTCACCATTGCAGACTACATTGATAATGGACTAGTAGGCAATCCAATATATTATTTGAAGATTGACAAGCTGGAGTGAATTTGAAGGATGGTCCTGAATCCTGATGTTATGTTTTATTAAAGAAGGGAGTTTGTCTTCTCCCCTTGCTTCATGTGAAGAGTTGATCAGTTGATGGTAGGTTTGCGAGGGTGAATAACTTTTTTGGTCTCCCGCCGGGAACATTCCATCCATATCCAAACCAATCACACCCGGAGGGAGGAAAAGGAGGTGGGGCGAAGAAATGTTTATTAGTTCTCATTCTCCATCAAATCGGGGAGTCATTTCAGGAATGACGTGGATCGGATCCAAAACCTTGTTCAATCCGGTTGCCGCCCCATTGCGTGTAGGTCCTACGGAATGGAAGCGCATGAAATTCGGATTCTCGTCTCCAAGACCATTGACCAGAATCCAGAGTACAACACACTCTCACAGTCTCACTCCTCTGTCTCTGTCCACAACTTGAATTCACGTCGCCAACGCCAAGTCAGATTTTTTTGTTTTTTTGGATAACGAAACAAAAAACTTGGGGATGAGGGGGGGAGGGGGGGAGGGAAAAAAGAACGGAGAAAGGTCGAAATCCAAATCTGGGGCAATCCGGTTCATGCTGTAACGCGCGTGAGATTCTGTAGGGATTATTACGCCACGTCACATATCACATCCATTCATTCTTCAGGTTGAGGGTTGAGACCGTACCATTCCAAATTATCGATAAACACACATGACACACCATCATGGAGTGGATGGCCACCAGGCCACGTCCCTCCTCCGCTGTCCGCTGAGGCGTATCGAGTCAAGTCTCAACCTCCCCTCCCCGACAAAGATTGCTTCCATGTTAGTTAATAATAATACTTTATTTACACACTTACTACTAGGAAAAGGAGGAGGACATAGATTAATAGTAATAGACGACAGTAGCCACGTTTCATTTCATATGCGACTACTCGACAATTCTGGGTCGACGCATGCGGTATCTTCTCCCACCAATCTCGAGGTGCATGCTCATGCTCATGACTCATGAGAATACCTGGTAAGTCCGTAGTAAGAGTTATAGCGTGCTTGCTTGCATGTAGTGCAGTCAATGGATCGGGTCTAGGTCCCAACACAATAAGATCATCGGGTCATACCCGCTTATAATAAACCCTTAATTATTAAATTAACACATTTGGACATCATAATATAAGAATTAGAAAATAGGTATTTTATGATAAAAAGAATTATGAATTGTACGAGTTGGGAATAATAACATAAGCGAAACTTATCACAACTTAGGGGGTACTATAACATAGGTGGTTCCGGGACAAAATCATGTCCAATGGACTGGGTAAACCTATCATGAGTAAATAGGTCAGTGTTTCAGATACATGAATGTCATATCGGACCTACACCTTATGGTATGGAACACCCATATGTTCACTTGTGATACATTGTATAGTCTCCTATGTATGAAATATTGATTTGTTCACTTGATGTGTATGATTTTGACTCTAGTCAATTCAGCTTCAAATACCTGACTTAAACTTTACACAGCATTAGGTTTGCATCTATTGAAATTTTAACAAATGCTTGACCCGATCCCACTCAAGTTGCAGCCAAAATTCTTTACCAGCAGTCAAAATTCTTTGGAGAAAAGCAAGAAAAAAAAAAGGGAAAATTAAAGGAGATGCTAGCATCACGAGCCCACTTAAAACTTAAGAGGTAACATTCCAATCCTATGATTCCTCATTTGCACAAAAAAAAATACCCCTTTAAATTTTATTTTCTTATGATTTGATATCCCTGTGAGAGATAAGACCTATGATTATAGTATTGCTCCAAAGCAAAAGTGAAAACTTGCAATTGAGAAGAAAGGCACAATATACCGAACACCCCCATACAGGACTTCAATTCCTTTTCTTTTTCTTCTCATCTTATTTATGTTGTGTTTGGTAGAATTGGTTTTTAAGTTTCTGCTTTAAGTGGTTTCAGTTGAGCACCATTTATACTTAAAATACAAGTATACCCATCCTCTCCCTTGTCTTTTTTATTAAGGGGGTGTTTTGTAGTGTGGATGAGAAATTAGGTGGTGTATTCTCAACCACACCACACCTGTATTGTGGTTGAGAATACACCATGCCATAGCAAAATAAGTGTTTTGTACTGTCAACAAAAATAGGTAGCCTGAACCACACCACACCCATATAGGTGTTCTGCAGGGTGTGGTGTGGTTTACGCTACACCCTATGTTTTGATTGTATGTATCTTAAATATACAGTGTGAGATAATTTACAACGTCAATCAAGAATAATAGTTTTTCTTTTTTTTAAGCATAATACAAATTAATTTAACATGTGATTAATTTAACTATAACTAATACAAATTAATAAAAAATTAATGGATTAATTCAAATAATTAATAAGGACTAAAAATTAAAAGTAATATAAAAATATAAAACACACACATAAGAGAACTAATGTTCATGATAAATAATTAATAAAAAAATTAATCTAGAATTATTAAAATTTGTAAAAACATAAAAAAAGTAAATTTCTACTTTTAATACAAATTAATAACAATTGTAATGGTAAGATAAATATTATTAATTAGATATAAGACAAATAATTAAAAAATAGTGTATGAATTAATACACATGTGAAGTACTAGATAGGGAGAGGTGTAGTTGTAACCATAAGTAGTGTGGTGTATTTTGAAACCTACTATCTCATGGGTTCACTATACTACCGAACACCACCTAAGAAAATGTGTTTCTTCGTTTAGTAAAAACCATCAATTTGACATTTTCTTGAAACATCTCTGACATGGATTTCTATGCAAAGTTTAATAACTATTTTGATACAACAATTTCTGGTCAAAAAGAAAATTGCCTTAGAAAATCTTTACACCTATTGGCACTAATGTAGAACCGTTTTTTTCTCAAAACAACCATAGTACCAAACTCCTCCTTAGGTAAAAATAACGTTTCTAAGAACATTTCCAACAAAGCCATTCGAGCATGAACTCTAGGGGTGATCATGGGCTGGTCCGGACTAGACTTCGCATCTGTGATAAGGACTATAGATCAGGCCTAGACCTACACAGGCCCAGGTCAGGTTCAGATGTGCTGATGAATGCAATGGCTGTGTAGTGGTCTGTAGAACCATCTACAATGATAACACCCATGCCAGTCATAAAACACATGGTGTGTGGCTTTATCTTCATTGGTTCCACAGTCCGCCGAACAGCTATTGTTTTCAATTAATCCTATCTCTAAATTGGGCTAATTAGCCTGATTCTAGGATTATGAATATTATATCATATTTAAACACATGGGCTGCTGGGCCAGGCCTGAAGCATTAGGCCCAAACCTGGCCCAGAGATTTATCATGGGCGTAGGCCTGAGCACAAAACCTGGGATGAAAATGATCGCCCGGCCCTACTGAACTCTCAACTCTCAACTATTATGATCTACTCGAAATTGAGGCAAGGTGGATTGCACGACATTAATAGCATTCTTTCATACACCATGAGAGGCATGCTTCATACAGAAATTTCAATTCAAGCATGGAACGTGTCCATCTGATTGGCTTCCTTCTTTTTTAGTCTGCTGTTGTTCCTGTTCTTTGTTTCTCTTCGGGTTTAATGATAATCTTCTTTACATTACCAAAAAAAGGGCATCGAGCCTGTTAAGAGAATTTAGAGATGGCAATTGGGTTGGATGGGTTGGGTTCAGGTTGGGTCAAGACACTTTGGGTTGATTTCGGGTTGGTTTGAATTTTGGGTTGGGTTATCAAATGCTAGGCCCTAACCTTAAATGTTCGGGTTAGGGTTGACTCATAGGTCAATTCGAGTCATCCTAAAAAATAACTGAAATTAAAAAAAAAGTACATGAAAAATGCCAAAAATAAAAGAGTTAACCATAAAATTCCAAATATAAAATAAAAAATTTGAACATCTAACAATTTAAAGAATAAACAATAAAGACTAAAGACTAAATAGAAAAAATTAAAGAGTGGAAACTTCTAACAATGTATAAATAGTCTCAATTAGACTTGACAATCGGATTAGCAGGTTCACCCATGACCCAACCCAACCCAGTTTTTTTTCGGGTCAGGTTGGACCATTGTCACATTCAGGTATCTAAATATGAAACCCTAACCCTGCTTTTTTTGGGTTGGATTGGATCGGATTCACGGGTTGGGTTAACTTTTTGCCAGGTCTACAAGAGATCGATTCACCGATATGAAATTATGAACGCTAGCCGGCTAGAAACTTAACATGTGGCTTTTCCTTTTGGGGTTATCTTGGTAATGGTAATGGTAAGTGGTATGACGAAAAAGAAAAGAATGGTTCGATGTTGATGGCACATGGGGGCATTTCAATATTCAGACCTTTCCTCCTGTCAAGGTTAAACTTTAACGGGTGTAATAGGGATGTTTTAAGAATCAAAGGGTCCGTTTGGTTTATGATTGGAATTGGAATGGTCTATTCCCTCTATCTATTTGGTTCAGACTTCAGACAAGAATCAGAATTGGATTCCGATTAATGTTGTTTGTTTTATTAAGAAGCCGGAACCGGTTTGTGTGTCAAATATAATGCGTACACATTAGGTGGTGAAAAAACCCAAAACCGCGTTGACATAAGCAACAATTTTGGGAATGATAAAGAAGTCGGTCTCTATAATGTAATCTATTATGTAATCACATTCTCAAACATAGAGTTGATGGCGTCAACTAGTTCGAACTTTGAACTCACGGGATCTTAGCCTCTATTATGTAATCACAATTTGGGAATGTGATTCCCAGTCCAGGGAATAGGGTTGGGAATGGCATTCCGCCT